AAGGTTATATATGTAGTCTTGGAGCATTTCAAGTCTTTCTTACAGCAAGACTGTCATCTGAATGACAAAGGTGATTCAGGTTTCTCTGATCCTGATGCCACAGTGTTGAGTTCAGTTTCTCTAATGATTTGCTCAGAGTACAGATTAAATAGGTATGAAGAATGGATACAACCCTGATGTACATCTTTTCCTCATTTTAGTGTTCCCTTGATCTGTTCAAGCAATAGCTTCTTGATGTAGTTATAGGTTTTGCATGAGCACAATCAAGTGTTCTGGGATTACCATTCTTCTCAATGTTAGTCATGGTTTGTTATGATCTACATAGTCAAATGCCTTTGCATAGTCAACAAGACACAAGTAGACATTCTCTGGCATGGGAGGGTCATGGAGCCATGTGGGTCCCCTGAGAAGTAAGGCCTGGCGTAGGGTTTCTGGATGAGCTCCTGGTTGGTTGATGTGTTCCTGAGAATGGAGACAGCCTGAACACAGGTGGGTTTGGGTCTCCATAATGGGCTGACAAAGAAATTTGGGAAGGGGCACAGACTTAAGGACAGGAGGCTGAGGCTGAGCCCTGGACATGGAGGGCATGGGCGAGCCCACCCAGCACAGACCTTCGCTGACCAGGACCCTCAGATCTGAACTGAGCAAGTGCCACTAACTGCTGATTAAACACAGGGCATCTCAGCTCCACTTGTTTGTTGAGCACCTACTGCTTACAAGTGATTCAGACCCTTCAATTAGCCCTGTGGGAACTCAGGCTATCCCAGGACACACTTGTTGGTGAATTTGCTTCTGGGCTCTCTCTGCAGACACCAGCTCACTGACTCCAAGGAAGCCTTCAGCCAGCCAGAGAGAAAAGGACATTTTCAACCACCTGCTGGAGTGCTGCCTTTGGGATAGTGCCATTTCCTCAGCAGCCAGCCAAGGCACACAATCCAGACAGCATGGCCTTTGACTTCCTATTTGCTTCTCTAATCAAAGTGGCAGGTCAGAGGTATGGAGTGAGGCCAGCCCTGCCCACAACCAGGGTAAAGGGCCCCCATGCAGAGGCGGAAGGAGCAGTATGAGGCACTCCCTGCCCTGCCCAGGTTGTGTTCGGTAGGCCTGCAGTCCACTTTGTCCACTCAGGGTTCTGGAATCTTCTTTTACCCATCATGTTCTTCTTGGACTTGTAGTCCAGCCTAGGGTGTGGGGACAAAGACCATCCCTGTACTCCTAGGACCACCTCACAATCCCCAGGACCATCTCTGAACTCCAGGGTCATCCTTGAACCCTCAGGACCACCCCACCACTCCCAGGACAATCCCTGAACCCCAAGACCACTCCATTACATCCAGGATCACCTGACTTTATCAACCCCAGAACCACCCACCACCCCTAGGACTACCCCATCACCCCCAGGACCACCCCTCAACTCTCATGGCCACCCCTCCAACTCCCAAGACCATCCCTGAGCTCCAGGACCACCCCACCACCCCCAGGACCACCTTTGAACCTTCAGAACACCTCTGAACCTCCAGGACCACCCCTCAACTCCCAGGGATTCTCCTCAACTACCAGAACCACATTCTCACTCAATTATTCCCCAAGACTACCCTCTATCTCCTCATACCCTTAGGTCACACTCTCACAGGACTATCCCCAGGGTCAACCCCAAGGTTATACCCCTACAACTAGGCCCCAAGGATCACCACCAAAAGGATCCCAGATCTGTCAGTGGCGATGGCTCCGGAGTCCTGCCATCCGCTTCCTGTTGTGGCTGTTCCCAGACCAACCATGGCTCTGCCCAGGGCTCCCCCACCACATTCCTTTCTTCAGCCCAAAGTCAAAGCTGGAAGTGCTGGCTAAGAGGTGGGGAAGGAATGTGTTTCCAACACAAGAAACAGTGGGACCCCAGTTCCTGAGCTAGGCCACAACCTCACAGGGGGCTGTCCAGTCAGCTTGTGGGAGCCTCAATTTTTACCCATTTACTCAGGATGTGGCAGTACCCCAGCCACCTTGTTCTCCATGCAGCAGGCTCCACTGTGCTCACCTGAGCACCTAAGCCCACCAGCACAGAGGCAACCTTGCCACAGAGAACCTAGGGTAAGGATGAGGGTCCTGTGGCAGAGGGTGGGGGTTGAGAAGTCAGAGGCAAGTGCTAGGGGCTTGGGTGACGAGGGTCAAGTATGTGGAAAATAAATTTGGGTTTTTAGGTTCAATGTCCAGTGCTTTGTGGTCAGGGTTGCAGGATGTGCAGCAGGCTGGCCCAGAAAGGCCAAGGTGTGGAGGGGACATGACACAAAAGATGCAAGGGGACATGACAGAGAAGGCAAGGAGACACAAGGAAACAGGACTTGGTGGGGGTGCAGTTGGACAGGATAAAGAGGGTGAGGAGGTACAGTGGGACTGAACAGAGGTGGTGACTGGGACAGGACAGAGTGAAGTGTGCAGGGAAACAGGGCAGAGGCAGTCAGAGGGTGCAGGACAGAGAAGTGGTAAAAGGGAAAGGGCAGAGAAAGGAATGAGGACAAAGTGTCTGGGGGGAGGCACAGGGCAAAGCCAGACACTGGTGGGCAAGGATGGAAGGTGAAGACTGAAGGGCAGGCACTTTGGCAGGCAGTGGATCGCCCCACAAGGGAGTCTAGCCCCACGAGAGAGGAGTGTCCAAATTGCAAATCATTTCCATGTGCCAGTTGGTGGAGAACTCTTCCTATGGGGCCTGTTGGAGCACTCCTGTTCTGGGCCCAGGTTAGAATCGCAGTTTCACCCATCCCAATCAGTGACACAGTCTCAGGGACTGAGGCCAGGCCCTAGTGAAGAAGTGTTTGGGGTTCTGGTCTTGGTGTCAGTGCTCCATCAGAAGAATGCAGGAACACTCATAGCCACTATCAGGGCCCACAGGGGAGTGGATGTTAGTGAAGAACTGGCTGGACTGGCTTGGCACCCAGAGGCCCTTACCTCAAGGGCTGCTGTCAAGGACTGGGTGCAGATGGAACCTGCTCCCCACCAGGCAGGCACTGATTAGGAAACATGCTTCTGTTTGGAACCAGAGTACAAGGCGGATACTAGCACAACAGCACAGTGCTGGCCGCACACCTGCTAGATCTCTGAAAACCCTGGCGTAGGCCACTTCCTTTGGAGAGCAAAGCCCATGTGCTGGCTGTAGTCAGAAGTCTTGGCCTCGAGTTCTGGCCACTCTGGGTCAGCTGGGCCCGTGGCTGGCTGGAAGGAAAGGTGCTCCTTCTCAGCTGAAGGTGAGGGCCTTGAGGTGGCTGGGGTAAGCATCACTCCCCCCATGACAGCTGTGGTGCTGGATCCTATCAGCATGCTGGGCTACGACGTGGCCTCAGAGCCTCTGGCTGACAGGTCTCAGGCTGGGGCCTGTGGAACAGGGCCAGCAGAGGAGGTCCCCAGGGGTTCAGAGAGAAAGACAACTTTGCTCCGCCCAGCACACAGCTGCGATAGGTGTAGAGGTCAAGAGGCAGAGCTTTGAGGGTGAGAAGTGTCTTTATTTGAACATGAATTTTAACACAGTCTGTGTGGCTGTGGGCTAGGGCAGCAGGGTCATGAGGGGGTTGCCCTGTAGCCTGAGGCCACTAGTCACAAGACTCAGCCAGCAAATCTGAGTTTCAGGAAATGAGAATGTGCACAATCAAATCAAGTGAACATCACTTGGCACCAGCCGCCTCAAGGTAAAAGTGAACAGAAGTGGAACCAAAAAAACATGAGGCAGAAACTTTAGTAGCTTGAACATGGGGGCAGCCTGGGTCACAGGGCAAGTGACCACGGGTCTAGGGCACTCGAGGGACAGGTAGAAGGACGTGACAGAAGATGGAGGGACTGATGGACGACCACTGCCAGACTGCCGTGGGCAACAGGAAGACCATGCGTGCGGCGTCAGTCAGCCAGGCCCTGCCAGGCGGAGATGGGAGTTGGGGCCTGTCCCCAGCGCCACACCACATGCTGTGCAGGAAACATGAGACCCAGGATCTCAGCAGATTTTATTGTCCCCAGATGTGTCCCCGCCCACCAGGGAAGGTGTTGGGGGCAGCGGGGTGGGAGGAGGACCCTCACCCACACCCACCCCATTCAAGCCGGCCCATGGCAGCTTGGCCTGGCAGCAGGGATTCCAGGTCTGAGGGCACTGCTCTTGCCCAGCCCCTCCACCTCTGGTAGGATCTGTTTACAACCCCAGTTCTGGAGGCCCCGCTCAGGGCAGGCAGGCTGAGAAACAGCCACACCTGCCACAGTGACCTTGCTCAAGGCCAAGGGTACAGCACCCAGGAAGCACTCCAGACTGGAAGCCAGAAAGACAGGGTGGGCAGGGATAGGGGCAGGCACTCAGTATTGTTTTGGTTGAAAATGCTTATGTGTGACTCTTCCTAAAAGCCTAAAGAATTCACTTAAAAATACTCACAGTTCCTGTGCAGTGCGCCTGGTGAGCTGGTGGGAGGCGGCACCTCCACCGCCTCCTGTCAGGATCACAGCCCAGGCCCTGAGCGATCGGGCAGGACCTGACAGCCACAGGCGTCCTGAGCAGAGGACATACCGCCACACTGCAGCCAACAGACGAGGAAGACCAAATCCATAGGATCCAGTGTCCACACTTGGGCTCAGTCCCCAAGACACGTGTCATAGTCCCTTCCCCAAGCTGGCTCGGGCCCCAGGGGGCCTGGTGAGGTGGTGCTGTTGGCACGAGAGCTCTGCTCTGGCCTGGCCGCACTTGCTGTCCCGTGCCCTTCTGCTGGGCACCTACCACTGGAACTGCTGAAGCCCACGTAAACAGCATTCAGAAGCAACAGGTGAAAAAATGTATTTCCCAAGAAGAGTAGGAGTCTGCCCCTGAAGACAGAATTCCAAGGTGGGGGTCTGCATCTCCTCCCTCTTGTCCATTTCCTTTTGCTGCTTCCTCTCTTTGGTTCAGCAGCCCCTGGAGGACCCCTCTGCCAAGCCCACCAGTCTGTGCACCATGCAGGGCAGCCGAGCCTGTCCACCTACAAGAGGCCTTGCCATCTCTGCTACTTCTGCTCATGATCCTCTGCTACAGTGGCCACCTCCATGGTGGCCGTGTGCTCCTCAGGCCCTGGGGCAGTCATGGGCCCCTCGATGGCCCCTGTGGGCACTGTCACAATCGTGCCCCCCCCAGGAGACAGCTGGGCCACGTTCTGCATGGTGGGACCAAGGCCAGGCAGTGTGAGCAGCTGCAGTGGGCTCACTACCTTGACCACCGTGCTGCCATCCTGCAGGGCAGCCGTGCTCAGCACAGTGAGACTGGATGCGTCCGGGTGCACCTCCACGGCACTGGGGAAGGGGGTGCCTGAGGAGGCCAGGACCGTGTAGCCCCCCAGCAATGGAGAGGCTGGGGCGCTGGCAGGCGGGACCTGTGCAGTGCCTTTGCTAAGGGTGGGGGCAGGAAGGGCAGACACCATTTTGCCAAGTGGCACACTCGCCAGCTGGGGGACGGGCATGCCCTGTGTCAGGGAGATCTGTGTGGATGGCGCCAGCACCTGGGAGGCGATGGCGGCTGGCCCCGACGTGGCTCGTGCCAGCCGTGGCCGCTTCACAGGGGGCGGCAGGGCCACAGGCGTCAATGTCATAAGTACGTTGCTCAGGTGCTGGGACTTGTGTTTGAGCTCCTTGGCACGCTTCCGGTGCTCGTCACACTGCTGCTCCAGGGCTGCAGGAGGGTAGGGAGCAGAGCAGCAGCTCTTAGAGCCTGTCACACACCAGTGACCACACACATGTACAGGCCCACACATCTCATGACACACACTGTATGGACATGTACGCACACGACCACACATCTGGTAACCACACATGTATGCACACAAGTGCACACACACTCACACACCCCACAACCACACATGTGCACAGGTGCATACACACATGCTCATGGAGCCTGCAATCACACATACATGCTTATACACCACATCTTTAAGTCCACAACATGTATACACACGCTACAGCCACATATATGCATGTACCTCATGACCACATTTCCATGACACACACACATGCACATACACTACAACCACATAGGTATTGTGAACCACTTATGTGCAAACTCCACAATTACTCAGATGCACACATGCACCTCATCAGCACATATGTACAGTCACAGCCCCTGAGCCTTCATATAAGCATGTACACAGTCCATGACCGCAAGTGTATGCTCATGTGCATTCCATGGCCACATGTGTACACATACATGCACGCTCTGACCACACACATGTGCACACACTCAGCCCCTGACCACACAGGGACCACGTTGACCACTGCAGTGCTGGAGCACAGGTGCTCACTAACTGGGACTCAAAAACGACGTTTTTTTTAACATTAAAGACTGTGTTTCAAGGCCTGGCTGACATTTCTCTCTCAGTCTCACTGCTCCTCTCTACAGAAGCCTCTTTTCAAATTCACAGCTCCGGACAATGCCGTCAACGTGGTGACGGAGGATGGCTTATGTTTACTTATAATCTCATCTGACGCTGTTCTCACAGGACGGTCTTCCGTTCATTTTTGCTGGCTGGGTACTCTGCCTTGGTCCTGCTAAGTCTTTTCTCTGTAATTCCTCTTTCTTAACATGCCTTCATTTGTGACAGAAGCATGGTGAGTGTGAGCACCCTGCATACTGTGTCTTTTTAACTTTCTCACCATCTTCCCCTCACGTCACTGAGTGATGTAGAAACATGCCTGGATAGGTCAGGAAGTAAGCTCTTAGACTTCTGATTCTACCCCAACATCAGCCACCCAAGGGGACTGTCAGATAGGGACAATCCACTCCCTACTGCCTGTCAGGGACACAGTGCTCTCTACTGGCCATGGTGGGTCCCTACCTGCCACACCTGGGTGTGTGCACACCTGGAACACAATGACCCTTACCTGCCAGGTCGCGGGCATACTGCTCCCGGGACCGATCCATCTGGCACTTGTGACTGGCCAACACCTTCTTCACCAGGTCTAGCATGCCGAAGTTCTGCACAATGTTGTTGAGAAGAACAGCATCTGAGGGGGACAGGCAGATGGAGAGCAAAGTCAAAACCCCCAGCAGGAGGCCTGCCACCTTGGGACCCAGATGGTTGGTTTGAGACTGGCCACCTTCTTGTACTCTAGAGCCAGGGTCTGGTAGCAGACCTCACCTCGGAGCTGCAGCGGGGGGTCCTGGACACGCTGCTGCAGGCCCTTCATGGTGCCCACCAACTCCTGGTGGAACTCCTGGATGACCTCGTCCAACAGCCCAGCATCCTTCAGCCCCCTCCAGAAGGCAAACGTGTCGTCTGTAGAGGCGAGGTGGGCTGAGTAGGAGAGGCCTACACTGGCCTCAGTTCCCACAAGGGTCATAGGGAGGGCTGCCAGAGTCCCCACTCCAGAGCCTGCCAAGAAGGAAGGTTCTGGAGCACAAACAATGACCCAGTGAGCGTGGCTTCCACAGAAGGACCAACGTCATGAGTGTCCTTTTCTCAAAGAGCCCACTTGGAGGAGCCTAGTGTTTCCCCACCAGCAGACAACACAAGCAAGGAGCATACCCGCAATGGCTGTGGTCCAGTCTCCAGGGTCCTCACAGGTCTCGATGGTGATGGTTGCAGGAGAGCCATTCACTGCAATCAAACAGGGACCACAAGCCTCTACGAGATCCACAAACTTGACCCAGCAAACACCAAAGAATACCCTTAGCAGGGCCACTGAAGAGTTACTACAGTTTGGTAGATGGACTCAAAAGTCTAGCACGACACTGGGTGAAGACGGACCCTTAGCTGGCACCAGCGCCTCCCCTCTCCCCATCACAGGCGATAGCCCACACCACCAACGGGGCCAGCCATGGAGACAGGCATATGGTGGGGCCACATGAGGGCCAAGTCTCTGGGGTGGAGAGGACACACCAGGCAGGGTCACAGGGTAATGGGGCCTCTGGCCAGTCTGGGTAAAGCAGAGCCAGGGTGGGGTAGTGACTGCACAGCACCTAGCAGGGCCCATACCGTCAGCTGTGGCTGGGGTGAGTGGGATGTACTCGGCCGGTGTGGGGCTGCTCAGGGACACTCTGGCCCCTGACAGGTCAATCTTGGTACTTCGGCAGGTGTTGGAGCAAACCTTGTCATGTTGGTAGAAGTCCAGCTCCCCAGAATCCATGATCTTCCTGTAGGGAAAGACAAGTGTCTCCGTACAGACTCGGAGCCCGGATTGAACTCCAGTGTGATACTCACAGCTCTGCCCCAGCCAGGGGAGGGGGGTCAGGCGTGTCCACATACAGGTTCTGGAGAAGCCTTTAGCCAATGGCATTGCCCTCCTCAAGTTCTTCCTGCCTCCCCAGGACTACCGAGTCAGGCCATGGACGTTATTCGTCTGGGCCTCTCTTGTACCTGGTCTGTGTCAGCCCCCACCGATCACATGAGGATGACACTCCACATGCTGTGTGTGGACGCTGGGCTGTGGAGAGCAGCAGGCAAGGGGCCTGTGCGAGGGTCTGAGCTCACTCTGCAAGAGCAGAGCAGCCAAGTGTAATATGAGCTCTCAGCACAGACACCTCAGAATAGGGGAAGTAAAGACAAACATCGACAGGGAGGATAAGATCACGCAGAGTGGCCAGAATGAACAGTGAGTGCCAGGCCCCCACCTACACCACACAACCACGGGCCTCTCTTCTACTAGACAAAGAGCCTCTGGAAGTAAAAGATTTGGCAAAAAGCTGTCATGTCTGAAGGCTTTCGTGTGTTGTGCAGGCTGCACGCTGCTGGCAGATGTGCACTCACCGTAGCATGATGCCGTTCATGCGGATGGCCCGCTTCCAGTCCTTCAGCGTGGACTTGCCAGCCAGGTGGACAAACTCCTTTGGGCTGATGACATGCTCATCATACTGAAGAACAAGACAGTGTCCATGTGAGGCCTGGCAGGACCTGGGCGTGGAGGCCTCCGAGAGCCTCCTGGTCCTTGAGATGGCTGCCAGCCCCAGGAAGAGCACTTAACCTGAAGATGTTTCAGGTAAGACAGAAGCTGAGAAGAGAGCTAGTGTCTTACAAGTAGCTGTAAAAGTCAGGATGCTTCTAGAACTGAACCCCATCACTGCTGCCCTCTCCCAGGATCTGGGCTCAGACTTTAACTCTGTCATCTCTACTCTCCCTCAAGAGCGTGGACAGATTTTAACTCTGCCTTGTTTCTAGGTGTTGGACTTTTCAATTCTACTCATGCATTACTTGTGTCCAAATCTCAAATTGTTTTAACCCAACTACCTCTAATTATTCTATGTGCTGTGGTCCAATCAGCTGTCCACACCCCTGCATGTCCTCAAATGGTGCGTCACTCTTGCTGTCTCAGTCTTGGTGTGTGTTCCTGTTTACCTGTCTCACTGAGGGCTGACCTACCCTGGAAAGCACCGAGCACCAGGTTACTATTACGGTCAGCTCCCAGGGCCTGCCTGCAGGAAGCAGGGCACTTGGCTGAAGTCAGTCTGATCACCTGAGTTCTCCAAGGCACTTCCTCTCCCACAGTCCTATGAATGGAGGTGGGACGAAACCAGTACTTCACCTTGACACTGCGGACCACCTTTATGGGGGACAATCACCCCCAACCAACCCACCCAAAGTGAGTCTGTCTGTGCGAGGCTGAGGCCATATCATCAGCAAAAGCCGTCAGAACCAAGCTGCTTCTTCTCCTGCTGCCCGCACTCTGCCTGTACCTGAGCAGCCTTTCATCTCTGCCAGCTGAAGGAGGCACATTAAATGAGCACTCGGGCAGCCAGCTCACCCTATCACCCTGGCTGGGTCTGCTAAGAGTGTCTCCCCATTTAGCCTCCCTTCTGGAGCATATCCAGTCCAGTTGGCCCCCACCACTTCAGCCATGAGTTAAAATCTTTTGTTCCACTGTGTTTACTGTACACAAGCCCTGCCTGAGGCCTCATTCCTCTGGCCATCCTGTCCCTTAGACACTTGGCCCCTGGCTGCCTATCCTGTCCGTCACACACGTGGCCCTGTCTGTCTTATCCCTCACCTACATGGCTCCTGTCTGCCCTGCCTGTTCCCCATACACATGAATCCCATCTTCCTGTTCTTGTCCTCAGCACACACAGACCCTCTCTGCCCTTCGTAACCCCAGCACACGTGGCTCTGTCTGCCCAGGGACAGTGCTTGGCAGTCAAGCATGCTCTCAAGGCCCAGCTCAAGGACAATACCCTTCCCTACAACCACCTTCCACCTTCACCTGAACACACTTGACGTTGATGCCAGGACACACAAACTTCCTCCAGATCAGGTTGGCTCTGCTGTCTCCACAGGTGATGGGGTACACCACCTCAGCATCCAAGCTCCCCTCCTCTTCCGCCATCTTCACTTCTCACAGGCAGAGGGAAAGGGGCAATCAGTGACAGCCCCTCCAAACCACGTCCCACAACACTAGCCACCAAAGCAGATACCAACATCCACACACAGGCAGACCCCACCACGGATGAGATGTGATGCTCCCCACAACAGCTACTCAGGCCAAAAATGTGAGTCACATGGCCCTGTGCCCACCAACAGCGGCAGCTTTCTAAGGTGAACCACCAGGACGAAGGCCTCCAGGGCTCCAGTTGTCACAGTCCACCCTGAGAAGCCTCCTGCTGGGGATGGGAGGATGAGTCAGCTCCAGAGTCCTACCTAAGACTGCCTCCTTGAGCTGCGAGGAAGCTGTGAAGGCTGCAGCTGCAGCTGCTGCTGCATTCTCTGTTTCCATGCTGTCCTCCGTCAGGTCACCCCTGGAAAACAGGATGGAGACAGCATCAGTGCAGAGGCAATGGTGTGCAGAGCACTGTCATTGTTACCTGGGCACGCCCAGTAAAGGTCTCATGGCGCCTACCAAGTCACCCACTGTCCCCAGAGCCAGATGCCATCTAAAGGGCCAGTAAAGTGCTTGGAGCTGGACACAGCAGGACAAATGGGGAGAAGCAGAAGTGTTGGCCCCAGCACTCCACTGATGTCATTCTCTGACCAAGCCTCTCTCTCACAATGAGGACATATCGGGTCACTGGCATAAGTGGTCATTCCAAGGAGACCTCCCTGTACCTTATACTGAGTCCCAGACCAATCACAACTGAGAAGGGACCTGTGAATGGTCAACAGTAAAGGAGGGAAACTAATCATTCTCAAACTGCTGAAGCTTTTTCACGTGACATAAAACCAAGAAAGATGGATAAAAAATTTGCTTTTTAAATATGTATAGGGGGGAAATTACCATAAGCAATTTTTTTAATTAAAAAAAGGGAGAACTTATTATTGTTGTTAGGTGCCGTCGAGTTGTCGTAACAACCCTCTCAGCAACCAACTGGAATCTTGCCCTGTGGCACACCACCTTTATGATCTGACATGCTCATGTCTGTCATTATAGTCCTTGTATCAATCCATCTCCTTTGCAAGGACTGGCCCCTCCTAACGATTTGGCCGACATATGTGAGACGAAGGTTCACCATCTTGGCCTCTAAGGAGCACCTTAGCTGCGCTTCCTTCTAGACACACTGATTTGTTCTTTTGGAAGTCGAAGCCCACAGTATATACAATATTCTTTGCCAAAACAATTTTTTTTTAAACTTTATTTTTTGTGTGTACCGTCAAATTGGATCTGACTGGTACAGGAGGAGAATGCCTCTCCTCCAGCAGAGCATCTTGTGGATTCTAACCATAAACCTCTGGGATTACAGTGCAGATTCTTGCCACTAGGCCACCAGAGCTCCCTTGCCAACACAATTTAAAGGCATTCATTCTTCTTTGGTCTTTCTTACCACTGTACAGCTTTCAGATGTAAATAAAGCAACTAAAAATATCATGGCTTGAATCAAGTGCACCTTAGTTTTTAAATTGATATTCTTGCTCTTGAGCACTTTGGAGAGGTATTTAACAGCCTCTTTGCCCAATCAACTACCTCTTTTGAGTTTTGTTTTGAAATTGGTTTGTATTACACTTTTTTTTTTATTTCTTGACTGTTGCTACGATGGGTGCTGCCTGTATCCAAGTGAAATGAAATCGTGGACAACTCAATCTTTTCTCTACCTAACATAGAGTTGTCTATAGATCCGGCAGTGAGAATTTGTATTTTCTTGATGTTGAGATGTAATCAAAACTGAAAACTGTAATGTTTGATCTTCTGTAGTAAATTCTTCAAATTGTTTTCCTTTTATGCAAGCAAGGTTGTGTCATCTGCATAAAGAAGGTTTTCTGGTTTAGTGTTTTTGCTTTCTCTCATTTTATGCACATGCACACACATAGTATCTTGATAGCATCTGTAGAGAATTTGAACCACAAAACATTCTGCAATTAATCACTGTTCCATCATTATCTGGAGAAGGGGAGAGCCCAGGAAAGGTGTCTACTGGACTGTGTTCACAGCATCACTGGAAGCAAACCCCTGGTGCGGCAGTGATGTCCTCTTGATAGCACTTGATTACAGCCACAGAATCACTAACAGTTACTGACATTGTTAGTGATCAAGCAGGTTTTTGAAGAGTCTTCTTCCAATCCTCATGCCACATTCTTCACACACTCCAGCTCCTGGAATTATTTGCTCAGCATACAACCCTGACACACACCCTTCCTAATTTCAAACCACACAGTGTTCCCTTGTTCTGTCCAGAGAACTGCTTCTTGGTCTAGGTTTCACAGGAGCACAATTAAGTGTTCTGGGATTCACAGTTTTCTCAGTATTACCCAGAATTTGTTATGATCCACACAGTGGAAAATACCATAAACTTTTTCTTTTTTCTAAAGAGAAAAGGAAAACTTAACTTTCTTAAAAAGGTAAACAGTAACTATTTTGTGGCTCAGCAACCTCACCCAAGTATAATCTCCCAAACGTGAAGGCAGCGCATCAGAGGCTTGGCCGGAACGTCCACTGGGGCACGTTCACAAGCTGCAAAACACACTGACGGGTGAACAGACAGGCTGGGAGCAACCCAGGCTGCAGTGCCCTTCAGTCATAAGGAGAATGGAGTCTGATGCTACAACATGGAAAATGATGCTAAGTGCAAGCCACAAGTCCCATGTGAGTACCTGATAGGGAATGCTTTGGACAGCCAACTGCTCAGAGATCAGAGCTGACTAGTGGCTCCAGGGACAAGAGTGGGAGGAGGGGCATGACGGGGGCACAGAGAAGGGTGATGAAAACTGTGGAAAAGGAGCATGGTGATGGTGATACTGCAGAAAGGGGATTTCTACCACACATCTCACACATGAACATGGTTGACGTGACATGGTGAATGTTTTATGTGTGTTCACCACAATAAGTAAAAAAAGAGAGATGGGCCTTGAGGTAGAAGAACATTCACAATGTACTCAGTCACACAGCTCATTTCCCTGAAGAGTCCAGACCAACCAGTGAGCAGAGAACAGGTGAGAGGGCAAGACGAAGCCCCTACTTTCGAGAAGGGCCACCACTCACACGAGCACACATAGGTGACCATGAGAGACACTTGTCCCAGACAACCCTAGATGGAGAAGAGCTGAGAACATGGCCAAAGAGCACCAACAAGAGCCACCTGTGGACAGCTCAGAAAGTATGGAAGTGGTGTCTCAAGAACCTGGCCACAAAGCTCTGAGGGCCATGTGTGCACAAACACAGAGGGCATGGTGCTTGTCCAGAGGTCCCACAAAGCACCCACTCCACCCTGGAGCACACAGAAGGCTCCAAAGAACTGTTAGCGGAAAAGCTGCTTCTTGGGTTGGAATACAGGACACTACCTCCAGGGCAGGGTGACAGGCAGGAGGACCCTGGGAGGCTTTGGTGAGCTCATCTTGCACAGACACCACCTGCCGGTGAGGAGTGCCTCCCAAGGGTTCTCACATCCCTAAGAAGGAGCTGCTCCCTGGATTCCAGGACTGAATAGGGGAGACTGTGGAGTTTGGCCAGCAATGCAGTGCCCGAGCTCAGTTGACTACCGGCTTCTCTGGCCTCCTGGCCTGCACCTACTCCCACCCACCAGGCTGAGGGCAGAGCAGGTGAGCGGCCACAGGAGACCCTTGATGGAACTTCCTCTGCTGCTCAGAATGGTCGCTGAATAACTTGAATCACTCTTTGAGCTTCACTTTGAAAAGCTCCACTTCACTTCAAGCAGATGTGTGTGTTAACCCAGCAACCCCCAGCCTGTTGCCATGGGAGCTCCATCCTCTCAGCGAAGCCACCCCCACTCCTCCGCAGAATCCCAGCATGAAGCCACATGGTACCTTCAGTCCTCACCGGCTGCTACTTCCCAGCTAAGACAGCAACCCTGGGAGAAATGAGCCTTGGTCCCTGGGGATGAGTGGCTCTCACAGGTCCATGGCCTCTGCACCTCCGTCAAAGTCTGTTTGCTCTCATGCACTGGCAGAGCTTTGGAGATGGTTAAGACCACTTCTGACCTGCACAGCTCCTGCCTTTGACCACGGGCTGACCTTGAGACTGGCATGAACTACAGAACAGGCCAAGCCTCATTCTGGTTGATAGAAACTTCTAAACCATGACACAATGACGGGCCTCCTGGAAATAAAGCCACAGAGAGGTTGGTTCTGGTCATCTGTGCTAACACCAGAGCCATAGCCCACTGGGCTCCATGCTGGCTTGTCATGGACGCTACTCCTGCAGTGGGGAGCTACTACCACAGAAACCGAACTTAGGCTGATTCCAGAACTGGGAGCAAAGGCTGGAAAAGAGGGAGGTGCTGCTCTGGCCAGCTTGTAGCCTGGCCACTGAGCTGTGGAGGAGAGAGGCTATCAGCCAAGTGGTGAGCCAGGGTGGTGTGGATGGAGGACACTTTGCTAACAGATCTGGGTAACCTGAGGAAGAACATTTCAGGGAGAACACAGATGGGCTTTCAGCCGTATGTGAGAAGAGCCAGGGGGGAACTGAGGGCTCACACAACAGGACTTGGAGCATAGAATCAGAAGATGTTCTGAGAGTATTACTCTGCTCAGCCCCAGGGTGTGGCCATGAGGGCCTTCAGGGAAGGCAAAGCGATCCAGACAGAGACTCTGTGAGGTCTGTGGGGCCTGACACACACCGCAGCAGGTGGCTCACAGTGGAGAGCCAATGGTGGTGACCATGCCCTTCTACCATGTACCTACCAATGTGAGTGGGTGGAGGAGGAATATATGGTTTTACAAGGGGTCCCTGGACCAAGAACTTTAAGACTGGTGCAGTCTAAGAGGTCACAGGACTTTGAGGATCACAGGATCCTGGGGGTCAGGTAATGAGTTTCTATATGAAGGTATGTTTTGCATAAGGGAAGAACAGAAATGACTGGACAGATGGCAGATGGTAGCAGGTCCCAAAATCGTGTGGGCTATTCCCCACAAGGCCAAGTCTCCACATTCAATGTCAGCTGGCCAGCTGTGACCACAAGGGTATGTCTCCAAACCAGTGTGCAAAGGGCGAGACCTCAAGGAGCAGGGCCAGCCAATCAACACTACTACTATCACAACTGCCACCTTTAAAAACTTCAAGCATCAAATGTTCTCCAGGCCCACCTCCGTCACACTCAAGCTTCAAGTCTTCCCTTGCACGCACACTCCCTTCACCCATCACCGCCCACAGCGCTGCCCACCGAACTCATTCCAGCAGCATAGATTCCATGAGCATCCACCCCCTGCAGGCTCCCCCGACCCTCTGCAGGGTCCCCTCCACGCAACCTCCAAGCTGGCTTCTCCTCAGGGCCCTACACTGCAGTCATCAAGTGTCCATCCCTATATCCTCAAGCACAGGTGGACATTCAAATGGACCTGCTCTCCACACTACAAGGCCGCAGAGAGAAACGATCCACCCCTCCTGGCCCCCTCATACCAGGCCTCACTCCACCTCACTCCAGTCGATTCTGCCATCTTGCTGCCCTCTCCCTTTCTGGGACAGCTGGGCCCTCCTCAGCCTGTGTGGCCACTGCCTGAAGTATGACACTCAGGCACATGACACCCTACTCAGTCCTAGAACCAAGCCTACTCTAGTCTGCAGTGTTCAGTCCTCCAGGAAGGCTACCATGGAGGGCCAGGGTGCCCACCACTGATGGCGGGCTCAGAGCTCTCTCCAATGTCTGAGCCTCCCAGCTGCTCTTGAGATGGACAGGACAGGTGTGGCTTTGTGCCTCTGGCATAGCTATGGGCCGTACTGAGTAACCATCTTTTGTTTAGACTTATTCTCCTCAAGCATGCATACACACACGACACCCTCAGGTACTTGCTGAAGACACCAAGATAGTGTGGAAAAAGCAGAGTACTAATGCATAGCACTGCTGGAACACTCTCTAAGGGTAGCCTCCTGAAGGCCAGGAGCATCCTGAAGCTCGTGGTCCATGGGAATGTCCATGCTGCTGCATGAAATTTACCTTTCAATCAGTCACACAGTTGGACTGCAGTTGTTGGAAGCCCCTTCCCTTCCAAGCTGCCCAGCTCCACACGTGGGCCCCTGAGTGTCCCCAGAACGGCAGGCATGCTGGCCAGTGCCACATATGGGCCCATGAGTGTGGACTCTCACAACAGAGTACTGAGTAACTCCCAGAAAGCCAGGCAGAGCAGCATGGAGACAGAGCAGAGAGCTTCCCAGTCCAAGCCTGACTGTGCAGCACCCCTTGCTGCCCTGTGGAAACTGTTGTGCTCCCGTGTGGGGCTCACACCTCAGTGATCTCACTTACAACATTCCTCAGGTGACAAGTTCCTTGTCAGTTGGAACCTAGTCAGCACTGATCGCTGCAGTGATCAGCTGAGACCAGTGTGAGTAAGCAGCACGCACAGAGGGCAGATTTGGGGACAGAAGGAAGTGTCCACAGCCCATAGGGAAGACACAGCAGTGGCACTTCAGCTTAGGGCTGCCTGCTGCACTGGGTCCTGCTAACTAGATGCGAAAGAAGACAGCTCCCAGGGAGAAACTGTTCTACAGCAGCATGTGGCTTCCATGCTGCTGTGGGGACAGCAAAGGGGATGGGACTAAGACTTTTTACCAACTGACAGATTACGTGGACACTTACTTGATGGAGTTAGAGGAAAACACTCCCAAGTGCTCAGGAAGAAGGTCAAGATCATGGGCTCTCCAGCCAGCCCCCACCCCTGCTCCTCCGCATCAAGAAAGAACCCCACTGATTGCCAGCAAGCTGGAACCATCTCATAACTGACATCTCAACAGGTCTTGAGTGGCTGCAGATCACACAGGAGGTTATCAATCATCATTCTCCCACGAAACTGCTGGTGGCCTCCAACTGCCAGAGAGGTAAAGGTCTTCCGGTTAGCTGCACAACTCCCTACACACTAGGTCACCAGAGCTCCCTACTATCTAGAGAGAATCACCACCTTATTTCTGAAACAAAAGCACATGGTCGAGTCAATGTGGGGCAGAGACAAAGCACCACAGGTGCACAGCTGGCCCTTCCTAGCTGACAGAGCATTTCTGCACAATGAAAAGAAAATCCCCAAAAGCTTGCATCTCACAGCCCCTTCAAGTAGGCCCAGAGCAGGGGGCCACACTGGACAGGGGCCGCACCTAGCAGGGGCCATATCGAGTAGATGCCACACCGGGCAGGGGCTGCACCGGGCAGCAGCCATCCCAGGTCACACCAGGCAGGGATGCATAGGAAAGGGTTGCACTGGGCCGGGGCCGCAGCCTTACCCGTGAGGGGCCAGGTTGGTTGTCACCAGCACAGTCTTCACCTCCTCCACACCACTGCCATCGCCTGCAGTGTCAGGTGTTGTCACAACCACCACCTCTTCCATGTGCACACTCACATCCGGAGTCGCCATGGCTCAGTCCAAAAAGAAGCCAGGGCCAGCAGCACCACTCCTCCAGGGTCTCAAGTCCTGGACAAAACAACAAAGCCGGAAAAAGGTTATAGGGAGCATTCCATTCTCTCATGAAACTTGGGGCATGAGCCACCCTCACGCCCTAGTCTAATCACATTCCCACAGTAACCATCAGTGGAGAAGGGGCTATTCCAGGGAGAACTAACCCAATCCATTCCCCTTTTTTCTGATGCAACTGACAACCCAAGCAGACACACCAGCACACGGAGGCCCTGAAGACCAGATGGCAGCAGAAGACGAAGGACAACAGCTAGACTCCCAAGGGTTGACTTGTACATGCTGTTTCCTGTGTTCACCTGGTTCTTCTGCTTCCCTTGGCCTGTACTCAAAGGCAGGCCAGCTCCAAGAGCTGTGTAGACTGGGGACACCCCCAGGAAGGTAGGCAGTGCCCTGTGCTCTCTGTGCCTTCTTTGGCCTTCCTTGTTCCTGCCTGCAGGCCCACTCCCAGCTGTGACTCTGTGATGGAGGCAGCATGGTAGGCAAGCATATCAAACACTGCAGAAGCTGAATCATCTTCTATGATTGGAAGAGACATAGTCCAAAAAAGAGAAGCACCCCATGCACTGTCCTCCATCCTCCCCAGGCCTGACCAAAGCACTTCTAATCTGGGGATAAAAGGTCAAAGGACAAGAACAGGGCCCTGAGCTGAGAAGGTGAAGAGACAGGCGAAGGGCAGGAGATGCAGAAGGGCTCCATTCATTGTGTATGAACTCCTGGTCTTCCCAAGTTTGTATACATGTAGACCTGACCCAGTGTGACAAACCCAAGGTTGTAGATCAGAAGAGGCAAGGTCACAGCCTGGATCTCCACTGGCCTTTAGACAGAGTACACAGCACAGAGACTAACAGCACTGAAAAGGCTGGAGAAATGATAGGAGCAGCGCAGAGCATGGAGGGGGTCAGAATCCACAGCCTGACCTTAATCAGGTCCAGTTCTTACTAAAACAAAATATACTTACATCCTTAATGAGATTTAAATAAGACCACAGTCTCATAGCATAACATTTAGTATTTAGAAAGCATTTGAATAATCCAAAATTATGGCTGATTCTCAACAAAATAATCAAGATGAACCCACTCTGAGATGTTCGCTGAAATAGAGAACTATATTAAATTAGCTATTATACCATGCTCCAAGAGTGAAGTGAAACATCCTTGAAATACATGAAAAGAGAGGAAGTCTTGGCAGAGAACAAGAAATCATAACCAAATGGAAATTTAAGAATTGTAAAGACAATAGCCAAAATGAAAAGTCCACCGGGCACACTGAAATGACAGAGTGAAAGATCCATGAGCATAAAAACCAAACCAACAACAACCTAACTGTCATAAATGGTGTGGCACTTTCTTAAAAAATTGCAAACAGAGATACCATTTGACCCAGCAATTCCACTACTGGGAATATACCCCTAAGAGACCATAACTGACATCCAAGCAGATATATGTACACCCATGTTTAACACAGCTTTGTTCACAATAGCAAGGAGTTGGAAACAACCCAAGTGCCCATCAACAAACGAATGGATAGAGAAGCTGTGGTATATTCGCACAATGGAATACTACGCTGAAATGAAAAACAAGGAACTCATGCAATATTATTCAAAATGGGTGACCCTGGAGGACATTATGCTGAGTGAAGTATCTTAGTCACAAGAGGACAAATACTGCATGGTGCCACTGTTGTAGAATGGGACTAACATCAGGGTTGGGGTAAGACTGAGAAAAATTGGATAAATTATGTAAACTGCATTGAAACAGACGAGGGAGAGAACAATTTAAAAGCGATAATGATAAGCTATTATGGTTATCACAAGAGTCCAGAATTAAGGTTGCATAGTGAAGTATACTGGGGCAGGGGAGTGTGGGGGGATTGTATACCAATGAAAGAATTTTTCTTTTACTTTTCAAAGAGAGGAGTGAACTGGGGAGGAAGGCTGGGCAGGGAGAAAAGTGCAACAATGAATAAATGGAAATCTAAAATAGCTGTAAATGTTCATTAAAATTAATAAAATGAAATTTAAAATAATAAAAATGTAAAAAACCAAAAAAAACAAATCAACAGTAATTTTCCAATCTGAACAGCACAGAGAAAAAAGACCAGCCAGAACAAAGACACACAACAGCATCCAAAGCTGAAACTCATGCCATGGAATTCTAGAAGGAGAAGGAAAAGTGTTAAACTGGGGCCAGGGAGGTGGGGACAAAAGGGTAAACAAGGAAATAGTGGCTGAAAATATTCCAAATTTACTGAAAGATTTGAGGAAAACTAAAAAACTCATTGCCATCAAGTCATAGCTGACCTTCCAGCCTGGGTCTCCAAGGCTATAAAACGCAGGGTGAGAGACTGTCCATCTTTTTCCCATGGGGCCACTGGTAGATTTTAAGCCAGCAGAGAAGAGCCACCTTCAGGATAGCAGCACAACTCCCTATAAACCAGACAATCAGGTACCAGAAAAATTGGTTCTGTCCAACATGCTGGAACTAACCTGGAATATACTGCATGATATCTCTGACCACCCACCTGTGTTAGGGCCGTAGCACGTCAAACCTTTGCTTCTAAACATCTCACTTCATCTCCACTGATAGCCTTTAAGCCAATTATGAACTGTGCAACCTTTAGTTTGTAATCCAACAATGGAAGAACACAGTAAATATAAGAAGCTAAAAGGGGAAAATGCCTCCTTCAAGCAAAAATAGTTTCTATTTCTTTTTCCTCTTTTTTTCCCTCCCTTTATTGTGTACCATTGAGTCAGATTCTACTGGCACAAGAGGAGATTGCCCCCCTTTCTCCAGCACAGCATCTGGTGGATTCAAACTGCACAACTTCAGGATTGCAGAGCAGCTTCTTGTCACTAGGCCACTAGAGCTTCCTCTATTTTTTTTAAAAAAGGGAACATTTTCATTCTTATCACATAACCTGTTAATGTATAAAACATACTGAGGCAGAGATCTGAAAACCATTTTTTCATCAATGCCTCAAGCTTACATTGTTTTGTTAAGTGCTGTTGAGTCACTCGCGACTCAGTGACCCTATATACAAGAACTCTGAACCCTGCTCTATCTTGAGCCAACCTCACTGTTAAATGGATCTAAGCTGAAAGCAGAGAATACCAGAGGAATGTCTATGTCAATGTATTTCATTGACTATGCAAAGGCATTTGACTGTGTGGATCACAACAAACTGTGGCTAACTCTGAGAAGAATGGGAATCCCAGAACACTTGATTGTGCTTATGTGAAACCTATACTTGAGTATACCATGGACTGCTGGGAGAACAAACAGGTTCATTTTGGAGATTGTGAAACCAGGCTGCTCCTTGGAAGCAAGGATTTTGAAGCTTTGTCTGGTATATTTTGGGGGTATTGCAAGAAGGGACCAGCCCTTGGAGAGGGACATTATGCTTGGAAGGGTAGAGGGACAGTGCAAGAGAGAAAGACCCTGGATGAGATGGACTGACTCAGTGACTAGAGTAATGGGAGTAGGTGTGTTATTCAACACTCTTCGCCAGCACAATTAAAAAAAAAACAATTTTTCTATTAGTCACTGTCCAGCTGTTACATAGCAAGTAATGGCAAAGATCTTGGCCTGGATCACACACACCTTAGTCTCTAAACTGACAGCAGATTTTTCCCAATGCAATTTGTCTTTTGATTTCCTGACTGCTGATATCAAGAGTGTTGACTGTGTACCCAAGCAAGCTGAAGCTGTTAACAATCTAAATCTCTTCACCATCTATCATGATGCTGCCCACTGGCCTAGTGGTGAGAATCTTTGTTTTCTTGATGTTGAGCTTTAATCTATTATTGAAGGCCATAGTACTTGACCTTCTGCAGCAAAGGCCTCAAGTTCTTCTCAGTTTTAGTAAGCAAGGTTGTGTCATCTGCATAACGTAGGTTGCTGATGAGTTTTCCTCCAATCTTGATGCCACATTTCTCCTCATTGATCCCAGCCACCTGGACGATTGTTCCACATACAGATTGAAAAGATATGGAGACAGGATGCATCCCTGAAGTATACCTTTTCTGATTCTGAACCATGCAGTATTTCCTTGCTCTGTTCTGACGACTGCCTCCTGGTCCAAGCTGTTGTTGTTATGTGCCATCAAGTCACTTGCAACAGCTCTGAACCCTGCTCTATCTTGAGCCACCATCACTGTCTCTGACACTATTCCATTACCCCAGTCACTGAGTCAATCTATCTAATCCAGGATCTTCCTCTCTTGCGCTGTCCCTCCACCCTTCCAAGCATGATGTCCCTCTCCAAGGAATGGTCCCTCTTTGTAACATGCCCAAAGTATGTTAAGACAGAGCTTCAGAATCCATGCCTCCATAGAGCAGCTTGGTTTCACTGTCTCCAAATGAACCTGTTTGTTCTCCTAACACTCCATGGTATACTCAAGTATAGGTTTCACGTAAGCACGATCATGTGTTCCAGGATTCCCATTCTTGTCAGAGTCTGCCATAGTTTGTTGTGATCCACACAATCAAATGCCTTTGCACAGTCAATGAAGCACAGATAGACATTCCTCTGGTACTCTCTGCTTTCAGCTAAGATCCATTTAACATTGGCTATAAATCCCTAGTGTCACAGCCTCTTCTAAACTCAGCCGGCACATCTGGCTGTTCTCTGCTGATGAGCTGTTCCAGTTTTTTTGGGGGATAATTTTCAGCAGGATCTTACTTGCATGTGGTATTAATGACATTGGTTGATAATTTCCACACTCTGTCAGGTCTTTTTTTGGAATGGGAATAAATATGAATCTCTTCCAGTCAGCTGTCCAGGTAGTTGTTCTCTAGATTTCTTGGTACAACTTGGTGAGTGCATCCAGGGTAGTGTCTGTTGAAATATGTCAATTGGTATGCCATCAATTCCTGGGGTCTTGTTTTTGCAAATTCCTTCAGATGAGCTTGAGTTTCCTCCTTCATAACCATTGCCTTTTGA